CATACACGCATACACAAACACGAATACACATTACCATATTATTCTCACCTAGACAAACTAGAATTACGTCAGTATATACATATAAATTATAGACACAGTCACTGTTTGACAGGATAGATGCATATAAGGTCTGCTTAATAGAAAAATAAAAATACCAAAATTTTTATTTTTCTTCCATATTTCAATTTCCATGAACGCTTTAGTAATAGTAAAACATTTTAAATTTATACAGCAATAACAAAATATATTAGATTATCTCCATTCTCTAAGCTATCAATGTAATTCTTTCCGAGGTTCCACATGCATGTGCAATGCATTCCGATTATCATTCAGATTATCTTACAATCTCTTCTTAGGCTTGTCTTCTGGACGCTTTCCTGTTTTCAGTTTCCGGGACGAGAAAATGTTTGGGAATCCTGCGAATCTCCATTATCAAAACGTGTCCTGCCCAATGACTCAGTACCTTTGTATTCAGAGATTTCGAGGACAGTTTCACTAGAAATCAAAGAGTGAAATTTCATGCATACTTAAATTCATACAAATATAATTCCTCTCTCGTGCTCTCTCTCACTCTCACGAAAACACACACACACATACATAAACAGGCACACACACACAAATATATATATATTAAATTTATAAATGGAAAAAAAAATGCCGTAAGAATTGTTTTACCGTTAACAATAATTAAAAAAAAATATCCAGACGACATGCATTCAACGGATATCAGTTTTCATTGAAAAATACATCCCTACCCCTTACCAAACTGTAGCTAATAAATGATACAATGATACTGTCATAAGGAAAACCTAGACATCCCTTGTCCAATTAAAGTAGAATATTCTGTAACTATGGAAACGTGATTTTAGCTGTGTCTTTAAAATCCAGTAATTTTTAAAAGTTACTCCAAAATTCGGTTGAGGATGAAATGGAACTAATGCTTTTAATTTAATTGCAAAATTAAATTCGGGGCTTTTAGCTTCTATTTTTGAAACATGGTTAGAACTGTGTAGCTGATTTTAAATCAATTAATTTTTTAATATATATATATATATATATATATATATATATATATATATATATATATATTAATAGTAGTACACGTTTGGAAAACCTCGGATAGCTCAACTTGCAGATATGTCAGGACAAATCGGTACCTGAGGAAAAAATTGGAAATAAAAAAAGGAAGAACTACAAATATCCGAACAAATGAAACAAATCGTTAAGTGCTTAAAGTCCAAAGAAAAAAAGGAGAAAAGACTAAAACGTAGAATGCTCAATCCACTAAATAGAGCGATAAACTAGAAGAGTTCTAGTATATATATATATATATATATATATATATATATATATATATATAATATATATTATTTTATAATATATATATATATATATATATTTTTTTATATGAGTGGGCATTGAATTCAACACGCAGACGTGACAATTTCATGCTAACGTAAGCGTCATATATATATATATATATATATATATATATATATATATATATATATATATATATATATATATATATAGTGTATATTTAGGCAGCAGTTTTTCATTGATCCATGTTTCATTAAATAATATAGAAAGTTTTGAATATTTATTTTAAGTAAGTTCCTTTCATATTGTCTAATAAGCTTAATAACATTATCATGCAAAGACGAAAGGAGATCATATTGATACATGTTTAAATCCAATGTAACCTATATATATATATATATATATATATATATATATATATATATATATATATATATATATATATATATATATATGTATGTACAGGGTGCGGCTGGTATTTTAGGATATACAGATTTAAGTTTAATACTGCTTCCCACTAACTTCTAATGCTTTTATTTTTCAGAAATCAAGAATGGCAAACCCTATAATAACAAATGAAATGAAAAAAGGCATGATGTGATTATGGTATTAAACGCTGATCATAGAGATTTGGATATTGCACGTTTCCTCAGAGTTGCAAGATTGTTTGTCCACAAGATACGAAAAGAGTTAGAAGACGCTGACAGTTCCCCAATGTCTGTATCAAAATGTAAAAGACATTCTGCACGTTTTGATAAACTGAGAATATCCGAACTTATTCAGGAAGTCAAGCAGACAATTGATGAAAACCGAGGTCAATCAATGAGGTCAAAAAGCTGTATGTGTTTGAAAAAAACAATCAGAAGGAGTGTTCATGAAGACGTTGGATACAAGTCATACGTGATGAAGAGAGGTCAATTTATGTATGAAAAAACAAAAGAAAATCGTTTAAACAGATCCAAAAGGCTTTTAAACAAACTTAAAAATCCTTCAGAAGCCGATGTGATTTGGTTTTTCTCAGTTGAGAAAAATTTTGAACAAGATCAAAATCTTAACAGAAGAAATGACAGATGGCTTTGTTCAGATCCTTCTGGGGTGCCAAGAGTTATACACACAAAATCTCCTTCAAGTTTTATGGTATTGGGCGTTGTTAGCAATGAAGGGCATGTTATGCCACCCCACTTTTTGCCACAAGGTCTTAGAGTAAATGCTGCGGCTTGCATTGAGGTTTTAGAAACAGTTGCCAAACCCTAGATTGACAACATATGCAAAGGCAGGCCCTCCATATTTCAGCAATACTCGGCTCCATCCCACAAGACGCTACGTTCACCAGAATGGATGGCTGACCATTTGTACGATCACATCACACTCAAAATTTGTCTTCCGAACTCTCCAGATCTCAATCCACTAGACTATTATGTGTGGAGCGTTGTTGAGAAGGAGGTTAATAAACAGCTTCATTACACCAAAGACTCTCTTAAAGCTGTAATAATTCGAGTAATGTCTGACATAAATAAGGACCAATTAATCAGAGCTTGCAGCCGATTTCGACCTCGGGTAGAAGCAGATTGATGCTATTGGTGGTTTTATTGAATAAAATTAAATAATAGCTAAATTTCATGTTTACTTGTTTGTAGTCAAAAATAATTACATTCATTTGATCAGCAAGTTTTTTACTAATCCAGAAAATCTGTCCTCAAATACTAGCTGCACCCTGCACGGTGGTGTAATGGATAGCGGCTTGAATTGAGGAATCAGATATCCGAGTTCGAATTCCATTCGAATCCATTACATTCACTTACGTGCTAATACCCTTGGGAAAGGTATGAATCCTCTTCTTCTCCATCCAGCTATGGGTAAATAGCAGGGCAGACTGGGTTGTTTAGCCTTGGGTGGCAACTGGTCTAGGAGAATTAAAAACCTGCAGAGGGTCGATTGGGGACCTTGTGGCACTGCAAAAAGTGTGGCTGGTCCTGAACGAAACCTTCACCACTATAATCAAATCTCTTTTTCTGTTGGATGGCATCTGGTTTAGGAGAAGGACAACTCTGAATTCAAAACCTGGGGACCCTGTGGCACGTAGTGCACCAAGTCTCTTTATTCGGCCCTTCAAAAAGTGTGGATGGTCCTGCACGAAACCTTCACCTCTATAATCAAATCTCATGTGCTGTTGTCGGGCTGTCAGTTTCATGCGAACTGATCTCCTTGACTCTCATACGTCGATTTCCACGGGAGAGTCGTATATATATATATATATATATATATATATATATATATATATATATATATATATATGTAAAAATATATGGATATAGATCCGGGCTGTCGGTTTCCTGCGAACTGATCTCCTTCACTCTCATACGTCGAATTCCACGTCGAATATATATATATATATATATATATATATATATATATATATATATATAAGCAAATATATGGATATAGATCCGACAGTATGAAAGAAAAATACAGAAAAAACAAACAAAAATCTGAATATGCAATTATGTAGTATTAATGTTTATATAAAGTCGGACGTTTCGGTCTATTTAAGACCATCTTCATGGACATTTTCATTTAAACATAATTAACATTATCATTATTATTATTCAGTTATCTGTTTGGATTAGTTGGGCTCTTATGTCCATCGTCTTTTGTGTTAAATTTTTATAAGTTATAATGTTAATTATGTTTAAATGAAAATGTCCATGAAGATGGTCTTAAATAGACCGAAACGTCCGACGTCGACTTTATATAAACATTAATACTACATAATTGCATATTCAGATTTTTGTTTGTTTTTTCTGTATTTTTCTTTCATATATATATATATATATATATATATATTAATGGGTGTCTTTTCAAGTGATGGTGTTTATTCACTTGGCAAGACACCAGTAGTGTTAAAATAAAATGGCTATTTTTGTAGTGATGCTATAATATGCTTATGTTATTATTTTTGACATTAATATTTTCACTCTGACTTGTATTGAGCAGATTTTAAACATTGAGGTCTGTTTATTTATACCAACCCTGTATTCGGATCTCTCTCTCTCTCTCTCTCTCTCTCTCTCTATATATATATATATATATATATATATATATATATATATATATATATATATATATATGGGAGATAGAAATAGGAGAGGTATTAAAAAAAAGATATGAGCCAAAATATCTAAAGGCTCACACTGTTATTTGTAGAATTTTAATTTGAAAATAATCAACGCATACGGTACAATATATATAGAGAGATTTTCCAAGCGTAGCTTGGATGTGACACAAGGCCGAAAGTAAGGGTCACCCAGTGAGGATCGAACTCACTACTCATTTGTAATTGTGCTAGCGAGACAACCTTGCTAACCATTACACCGCCTCGGAGTGCCCTATATCTATGTATGTATGTATATGTATATAAAGATTATGCTGAAAATGAAGTACTTACTGTGTATAATCCGAATGTATGCAAAAATATTGTTTCTCTTTAATTACCAAGATTTATTAATACAAGGCCACAATATATTCTAAAATGAAGACAAAGTTTCAGGTTTCCAAATCGAATTATTCTAGCTTTCTTGAATGTCAGACTTCAATTAAGGCATTTCTTTGCACGTCATAGAAGCTACTTGGCTGCCTTCTTAGACTTGTGTATCGTAAATGAAGAACTGGCATCCTATTAGTGGCCTACTTCATGTTTACTATCCGCGTTATGCAGCTGCAAAAATGCTGGACAGTCATCAATCGCTACTACTTATTTTTGGTCATTTTTCTTTCTTTCTTTCTTTCTTTCTTTCTTTCTTTCTTTCTTTCTTTCTTACTTATTTATATTCCTTCATTCTTTTCTTTCTTTCTTTCTTTCTTTCTTTCTTTCTTTCTTTCTTTCTTTCTTTCTTTCCCCTTTTATCACCGCTCTGTTTCTTTATTCATTTTTTCCTTCTTTCTCTATTTCCTTCCTTCTTTCTTTATATTTTTTCATCGTTTTTTATTTTCTTTTTTTTATCGTCGTGCTTTTTATCTTTTTCTGTCATTCTTTTTTATTTTTTAACATTCATTTTTTTTCCTTTTTTCTTTCGGCTTCGTTTTTTTCTTTTCTTCTCGCATTCCCCTATTTTTCTTTCTGCCTTAATTCTCTATCCTAATTTTTACCTCTTAACTCTAAAATTATTGATACCTCTTTCTTTCTTTTTTCTCACGTCTTATTCTTTTCCTCTTTCCTCTTTCCTTCGCTATTCTTTCACCGTTGCCGTAGAAAATATTATATATTAAATTTTCTATTATTCTGAAGTTCTTCTTTCTTTTGTCTTCATTATTTCATTCATTCTTTGTCTTCTTCATAAATTTCCATCTCATTTATTTTTTAAACATCTCCAATGTTTTTCTCTCTCTTCCATATGTCATTAATTCTTGATCAATTGTACTCAGTTGCACGTTTCTTACTCTCCTTTCCATCACGGCCATTATTCTTATATCTGTCATTATTTACTTGTTTTCCATATCACGTTTTATTCAAAAAGAGACTCAATTTACCTCTGATATTTATTTATATAGTAATTCATTTCTGAACTCTAGCATTCATTCAAACCGCGTTTCCTTTATCCTTTCGATTCTGCCCATTTTTTTTATATTGGTATTAATGGTTTTGTTTTTAATTTTTACAATGTTCATTCACGCATTTCTCGTAAATCCATTAAGCTTTCAAAATCACGCACATGCAACACACAATAATCTATTTCAATTTCTGTATTTCTTTTCATTTTTCTTCCGTAAAGATCTTAATTTTTCTACTTACAAATTGAAGCGGAAACGAAAAGGGTTGTGAGAAAATATATATCTGTAAACTGTATAAGAATGAAAGAAACTAAATTGGCAAATAAGCGAAGGAACACGCAAAAAAAAGGTCACTTTTCAAACGTTCCATGACCTTGTCACATTAAATCACCATGATTTGTATAGACGGCTCACTTTTATGCGAATACTGAAGATCAAGTAAAATGCACTTGAAACCAGAAGGAAATAAACGTCTAATTTATATTCAGTTCATAACATAATTGTAATAATGAATTCATGGCATTTACAAACACATTTAATAGGCCGGCATTGTTCACACGCATATTAGCAAAATATAGCTTTTGCATTTGTAGGGAAGATCTGATGTTGCTAGGGGAACAGGAAATTATCTGAATACAAAGAAGTTCATGGAAAATTAATTCAGAAAAAATTATTTTTAAGAAATTTAACTGATAGTAAATTTTTTATTGCATTCTATTTATGTTAACTAGCAACTGAAACCTTGCAGCAGTATAAACTAGAAGAAGAATTTGAAGAAGAAAATCAGGTAGAATGATGATAAGAAGAAGAAGAAAAAGAAAAATGAGAAGAAGAAGAATGAGAAGACGATGAAGAAAAGAGGAAGAAGGTTGAAGAAGAAGAAGTTGAAGAACGACAAAAACAAGAAGTTGAAGAAGAAGAAAGAGAAGAAGTAGGAGTTGAAGAAGAAGAAAGGGAAGAAGTCGGAGTTGAAGAAGAAAGAGAAGCGGTAGAATTTGAAGAAGAAGAAAGAGAAGAAGTAGGAGTTGAAGAAGAAGAAAGAGAAGTATTACGAGTTGAAGAAGAAGAAAGGGAAGAAGTAGGAGTTGAAAAAGAAAGAGAAGAGTCAGAATTTGAAGAAGAAGAAAGAGAAGAAGTAGGAGTTGAAGAAGAAGAAAGGGCAGAAGTAGGAGTTGAAGAAGAAAGAGAAGAGTTAGAATTTGAAGAAGAAGAAAGAGAAGAAGTAGGAGTTGAAGAAGAAGAAAGGAGAAGAAGGAGTTGAAAAAAAGAAAGAGAATTTGAAAAGAAAGAGAAGAAGAGTTAAGAAGGAGAAGAACAATAAAAACAAAGAAAAAGGTGAAAAAGAGGAGAAGAAGAAGAAAGAGGAGGAGAAGAGGAAGAAGAGGAGGAAGAGATAAAGAAGAAGAATGAGAACAGGGTGAAGAAGGTGGAGAATAAAATGAAGAAGAAGAAAAAGATGAAAAAGAAGAAGGTGAAGAAGAAGGAAAAAAGCAACAAGTAGAAGAAGAAAGAGAAGTAGACGTTAAAGAAAAAGAAGTAGAAGTTGAAGGCGAAAGCGAAACTGGAGAAGAAAAATAAAGACAAAGAAGGTGAAGAATAATAACAGCAACAACAACACGTAGAAGAAGAAGAAGGAGAAAAGGAAGAGGAGGAGAAGGAGAAGAAGAATAAGAAGATGGTGAAGAAAATGAAGTGGAAAAAGGAGGAGGAGGAGAAGAATGCCAAGCAGAAGAAGGTGAAGAGGAAAGAGAAAAATGAAAGGGACAGTAACAAAAGATATTAGCCTAAAATGATTATATCAAAATACAACATGATTAACAAAGAAGATATCTAAATCTGTTGATCGGTTCTCTCTGATCAGAGCACAAGTTCGGATCTTATCCTCGATCTAATCCCAGCGCAAAGCGGATTGATAAAGCAGTCTAGTGGTGTTAATCAGTTTGTATTTCGATATTACCGTATTACGGTAATTATTTTCTGTTACCCTCATTTTGTTATAAATGTTAGTCTCGTTTTAACATGGCCGTTTTTATTGCTTTGTTAAATTGTGATAGTTACAATGGAAGATAAGAAATTAAAAGAGATAAGGAAGAGGAAGTGGGGGGTACGTATGAAGCACTTGTTTATGCATCTTCTTGGGCCAATAGAGATATCGATACAGGTGGTAGGGAAAGAATCAATTGAAGCGGAAGATATAAAATACATATTTGAAAAAAAAAAAGACAACTTTAAATAAATGGGGCTTAAGAAAAACATAGGGCGGAGAATTAAGAAAAAAACATTTATTAATAGAACACTGAAATAAAGTGAAAAGAGTCAGCAAAAATGATTTGTAACAATAAATTAAGTGGGAGAAAAAGAACAAGAGAGTGATAAATGAGAGGTACATTGTGAGAGAGAGAATGAGTGAAAAAAGACAGAATAGTTAGCAAATAAAGAGTGGAACGAAAATAAAATGAAATAAAAGAGAGAGAAAGAGGGAAATAGAGAGAGAAACTAAAGGAAAGTGTGAGATGAAAAGTGAGAAAGAGAGAGAGAGTAAGAGAGAAAAAAGAACGACTGAAAGACGAGGAATTGGACACAATAAAAGTTGAAGCAGAGAGGGACTGAGAAAGAGTTTCACACAACTGTCGAGGTTGACAAGTGATGTAACAGGTTCCTTTGTAAATATAGATTGGAAATGTAGTTATTGGAGAAGAGGTCTTTGCTAAATATTTTTCTATCCATGCAGGCACATTTGGCGTATAAAACGAAGTATCTGTCTATATTTCTGTGATGAGGTATTATGTACACTATTTACATTATTCGGATTGTCCTCATCTTTGTCGCCATATTTATTACAACGTTTCGGCCGTTGTACGCCCCGGTCTTCTTCAGGTGGTTGGAATGTCGAACTGAACCCTTTATTTCGCTCACTGGGGTAGACTGTTCAAGTTCCACGTGCCATGTCTAATGGATGTTAGTTATCAGTTATCTCCTGTTAATTCCCCTCTCCAATTTGTCCAACGCCTTAACCAGATATTGAACCCACACTCTTTGGGCCCTGTCACTGGATTTAACGAACGCCTTTATAAAACTGTGCCAAGTGTCCTTTAGTCCACCCTAGAAAGTAAATGGTCTAAGATGACCATCCAGATAAAGAGACATAAATCATGGAGGTGAAGTATAGAAGATATATAACCCTGCCAGGGCAAAAAATATCGATGATTCATATATGAAAGCCTATGCCTATACCAATGCAGCTTGGAATGTGACTCAAATCATCAGTAATAATAAAAAAACAGAAAATATAGAGCTGACAACGAGCATCGTGCAGCTAGGACAAAATGATTGGCCACAATTTGATTTGATTTATCCTTTTAACGATATATCAACTCCTTATGGATTATTTAATGCCGAAATTTAAATTTCATGTGAGCTTTGAAGCCTATTCTCTATGTTATTCTGCTTTCTAGTTGAGTTCGTGGTAGATGATACTCAGATTTTTGCATATACATGTTTGTGCCGACATAATTACTACTGGCAGTGATATGTGTGTTTTATGTCGTAGTTTTGTTGAAGTTGCATTTTGGAATACAGTTGGATTCCGTTAAGAAATTGTCGGATATTATATGGATTAATTATCATGAAAGCGTTCCTTCCTGTAGGTTCTTTGATTTGGTCTTGTGGCATATCAACTCTATGGTTATTTAATGCCGAAATTTAAATAATTTATTTATTTATAAATATTTTGGAACACAATATTATGGCTTCAACAACAGATACAATTTATTCTTGATTAGTTGGCTCCAAATATGTATTAATGGTTATTTTGCTATAAAATGTATTGATGGTAATTTTGCTTTAAAATTATATTGTTAGTAATTTTTTAATATGAAAAAGTATTTATAGCATTTTTATACTTTCATAGTGTTTTGTCTTTGTTTGGGGATCCATCTTTTGCCTACAGCTGGGATCCTAACAGGGGTTACCACACCGGGTCAAAGTGGAGCTGGGAGAAAAGCAATTGAGGAGGTTCCACGCGCCTCAAAACCTCTAATCTCGTGACAAAGGCCTTCCTGTCGGATCTTGTTTATCTTCATTACCAGTGCTGAATGGGCAAAATTCCAAGAACTCCTGAAAAGAACACATGCGACTAATAGCGACCAGAATTGCTAAATATATCGAAAGAACCCATTTCAAACTTCCAGACTACGGCTTAAATAACACATATACAAAACTCAAAACCTCCACATAAAGGAAAGTCCATTAAACAAAACTCATCATCGATTCCCCCATCAAGTCTAAAGATCACCGATTCCCCCATCAAGTCTAAAAATAGATATCTCCGGAAATTCACCCCAAAACATGACGAAGAAAATAAATAAATAAAAAATCGAGGTCCTTTCTTCCAACAAAACTTTGAAAAATGAACCAGTATAAAACATAACTAAATATAAAAACATGACATATAAAATACTCCAATGGAACTATCGTGAACTAAATTCAAATTACAACGAATTACACATGCTAATAACAACATTGAATTCTGCTGTTATTTGTCTCCAAGAAACATTTATAAAAAAAAAAAAAAAATTAATATTAAAAATCATCCAGAATACAATCGTATTCACAGCTCGGGATGGAGGGCCTCTGGAGATGTAACCTTCCTAATAAAAAAATAAAAAAGGAAAAAGACAGACAGACCCCAGAACAAAATTGACCAACAAACAGAAACTGTCAGCACATTCTCTTTGTATATCCCCCATCGCATTATCAGATAGTTCAATACAAGTTGGAAGATCTGACAAAACAATTAACCTAACCCTTCATTTTACGAAAGGGTTTTAATGGCCTCAACGCCATCTGGCGATCGAAGGAGACCAACGAAAAAGGAAAATTAACAGAAAAATATGTATTATGAATAATGAACTATACGTATTCAACCAAAATCATTGATAAACATTAATCTAGTAATTGTAATCTTGGTGAGATCTTGTAAATTACATAGAATTTACTTCCAGTATGTACGATGAGAGATGTGGTATCTGCAGTTTTTCGTTTATACTGAGGAACAGTAAGGTGATCGATGAGCGCCCACCTATATGAAGGCTAAACAAGGTCGACTGGGGAAAATTCGGTAAATTATGTAAATATGAAGCTACTCAGCATAACTTACAAGCAAGAGAAAATTCCATGGAAACACTAATAGCCATAGCAAAAGAACACATCTCCAGAAGGCCAACACAGAGTAGAAGAAAAAGACCATGGTTCGACGATACGTGTAAAGAAATAATTATCTAGTAAAGGAGCCCTTAGAAAATTAAAGAAAAATTACCGACCTGGCTGGTTTGGTTTGGTTTGATTTGGTTTGTATAGTTTTATGGCATATCAACCTCAATGGATTATTTAATGCCGACAAGATATTTTTATTACTGGTAATATTTATTTTTTGTCAAAAATGTATTGCTAGTAATTTTTTAATGTATAGCTGGTAATATTTTTTTTCAAAACTGTATTACTGGTAATATATTTTTCCTCTTTAAATGTATTACTGTTAATAATATTTTGCTGGTAATAATTTTTCTTCAAAGATTTACTACTGGTAATATTTTTTTACAAGTATTTCTTGTAGTAAAACCTATTTTTACACTTTTTTACTGTTTTGACATCAGTTTGGGCGTTAAGCATTTACCTATAGCTAGAATCCTAAGGTGTTAGTGTGGATCTGAGAACATTAAGAGGAGGTTCCGCACGCCGCAGATCCTCCTGATCAGAGGCCTTGCTGTTGGATGTAGTTTATCGTCTTACACAGGATGCAGATGTAGTTTATTGTCATGCACAGGTCGAGCCGATCTGATAAACTATAAAATAAAATAAATTCAAATAAATCAATGAAAGAAGTCAAAAAGAAATGTTGGTAAAAATATCTCAGTAAAATAAATTATTTTACAAAACCAATATGGGAAATGATTAGAAACATCTATGTGTATCAGTAAAACATCTCTCGATAAATACTACCACGAAAAGAAGTCTATAAGAATATTATGGCCAGAATATTCTCAATATTTTTTAAAATGCGATCAAGAATAATCCCAATCTATAAAAAAAATGAAGAAAAATACAAATTCATCTTCGAAACAAAGAACCTGGAATATCATGTTCTCTGACAGAACTAGAATATTCCATTAAAAGCTCACATAATTAAACTTAAGGATCGGATGATGCACATTATGAGTCCTTAAAACAATTTCCAAAAGATTTATTCAAATTGTTATTAAAAATATACAATGATCTCTGGAGAAATGGTAAGATCCCGGAAAAAATGAAGAAAAAAAGTTCTCTTTATAATACCAGGTAAAGACAATTCAAACTCTGGAATTTTTAGACCAACTTTCTCGTGAATTGTTTATGTAAACTTTGGAGGGAATTGTGAATAATAGATGAGTTTAGTATCTGTCTTCCAACAAATTAATGATAGACTGAAAATGTGTCTCGTGAAAAAACAAAAAAACAATGGACAACATATTTCGGTTGGAAAGTATTTAAAAGGGAAACATTTATGAGAAAAGAACATGGCTACCGTATTTTTTGACTTGGAAAAAGCTTACGAAAAAATCGAGAAGTATAGGAGAATGAGATATCTAAATTATCTATGACTGAAAGTTAGTCTACCAGAATATAGCAAAGACTTTCTTTCAAATAGATATTAAAAAAGAATTAAAAAAAAAACAAGAAGAAACAGCACAATGGAGTATATTTTTAGTCGCTCACTTCAGTATTATAATAAATAAGATTACAAAAGAATTCATCCAATGTATAATTTTCCTGTAAGTTTGCGATCCCAGAATATCCACACCATTGAAAAGAAACTGCAGAAATGCATAGATAAGATCAACACATGGGGAATAAAAAACGATTTCAGATTTTCGAAAATTAAAATTAAATGCGTGCATTTTTGTAATAAAAGTGAATTTTATAATAATCTAAGATTGAAAATGAACAGACATCTTAATGGTAGGTCAGTAGGGGTTCTTGGGAATGATTCTCGACAAAAAAAAAACTAACATTCATACCACGCCTCAAATACTTGAGAACACAACATAATCAAACCATTACAACTTTTGAGAGTGCTGACCCATAGAAATGGTGGACCAGATCGGCAAATTCTGTTCAAATTATAAAACATTTATCCGATCCGAGCAGGACTATTAAAACTTGTCCTGGGTAAGACGATAAACTACATCCAACAGAAAGGCCTCTGATCAGGAGGATTTGAAGAGTGTGGAACCACCTCTTAATTGCTGGTGTTCCAAGGTCCACCCGGACCCGAGGTGGTAGCACCTATTAGGGTCCTAGCTATGTGCAAATAGTTAACCCCCAAACCCAGATCTCGTCCTGGGTATGACGATAAACTACATCCGCGTCCTAGGTAAGAAGATAAACTATGTCCAAAAGCAAGCCTTATGATAATACGTTTTTGGAAAAATAATGTTGCCAGCTGTACGTTTTTGAAAAAGAAAAATACTGGCTATAGGTTTTGAAAAAATAATATTACCAGCTATACGTTTTTCGAAAAATAATATAATCAGCTATACATTTTTGAGAAAAAATATTTACAGAATTAGATTTTTGACAAAAAAAAATATTACCGGGAAAAAAAAAGTCGGCTTTAAACGC